CATGGTGGTCAGAGCGGCCCGCAGGCCCAAGCGACTGGCGGCGACGAGGCGGCGACGGCGGCGACATGACGGCCAGAGCGACTCGCAGGCCCAGTTCATCAGAAGAGAAGTAAGAAACCGTAAGTGCAAACATTGTTTGGGGAAAAACAATTTTGGTATCAACGCAGGCGCACCACATTGTGGTATTGGTCAGAAGTGGCACGGGGTCTCTACACCGGCATGGTTAGGATGGCACCATTTGATGTTTAGGATAGGTGGTCGCGCAAAATAAGCATGAGCGGAAGTGGGTGGACAACCCCTGCCTCAATGTGAGATGTAGTCTCATTTGTTTCAGGTATTTGCTTCAGGAGGAGGAATGTACGCAGTAATGCGTATTGCAACTAACTGCGGGCATCCGCGACTGACCCCCCCATGCTCCATCCAATATCCCAGCTACCCACTTGTTTTTTTGCAAGACTCACGAGGGCCGTCAATGCATTTGACCGCCGAAACTTGCTCGCTAATTTCATGTGGCGCAGTGACGCGCGGAGCCTGCTCATGCAGATCCATGATTCGGGCAGGCGAGTGATGATGGTGACGACGAGATCGGCGGCGACGACGACGACGATTATCATGACGATGGCTGTGGTGGTGGTGATGACGATACAGGCGTCGACATCGACGATGACGATGATGAATTCGGTGGTGGTGTTTATGGCGATGTGGTGATGACGCTGGCGATGATGATAGAAGTGGTGCTGATACTGAAGAGGACCTCCGCGCGCAGGAATCCCAAAATCCTGTCGCGCTCTCCGGCGTAGAAAATTGGGAGCTCATGGGCGTTTGAATACAGATGCGTTGAAGGGCTCAGAGAAAAACAAATGACGTGCGAAACCTTTCAAACAATGTGCGCGCACAGAGGCGCGCGTGCGGCCAGCACTGCAATATTTGGCAGACTCGGCGGGCGGGCGGTGATTGTTGAATGTTTTCGACGCGCGCGCGTATGGCCGCTTGGTCCCATTTGACAGGGTGACGAAAATATGTTGGCTCTCTCATGATTTCAGCGACTGCGCGCGCGCAGAAATCTGGCAAGTCTTTGGTGGAACACAGAGGGCTCCTGATAGATAGCGAGTTGCTGTCTTGCAGTGCTGGTTCTTGTTTTAGTGTGGTCCGCGTGGTAGTTTGTGCGAGGGAGTGCTACACAGCGCACCAGTTAGATCAACGCGTGTGCGCCGCATTGTATGCGTTGCCGGAAATGAAGGGGGTGTCGATACCAGTTCGGGTGCAAGTGTGTGTGATACTCATTTTGTGTGTGGACATATTCAGTTAAACATATATATATATATATGTATGTATATCTATATGTGCGTGTGTGTAAACACCTGTGTGTATAATGCACGGTCGTGCAAAAAAACAAATACATTACGACAACACGCGGAGAGTCGAATTCGTTCCAGGGGGAAGCAACAACGTGTGCACCAAGAAACGCCCGCCAGCGAGCAAGGCGCCCACGAGGCGCCTGCGGGCGGCGAGGCGAAGACCTGGAATCTCTTGCCGACGCACGAGGCGCCCAGGAGGCGTCCTCGGGCAGCGACGCGGCGAAAGCACTGAAGTCCAGGCCAGCACACGAGGCGCTTGCGGGCGGCGGCAGGGCGAAGACCCCAAACTCCTGGTCATATGTGCATTTATAAATATATAGGTACATGCATACATGCATACATATATAGGTGTATATACGTATATAAGAATACATCTAAATGTGTGCATATACATACATCTGTTCTATATATATATATATATACACACATATATATATATATATATATATATATATATCCCTGGGGGCGAGGCTGGGGGCCCCAGGACAGGTGCCCCCACCCCCCATGGCGGGACGGGGGCTCATTTTCCTTGTGTTTTTACAGGGTTTCCGCGTCCTGGGCCTCGGAGGCCGCCGCCTCCAACCCCCCATGGGAGGACGGGGCGGCCGGGGAGGTCCAAAATAGTCCAGGAGGGCATCCAGAGGCTCCCAAGACGGCCCAAGCTGGCCCCGAGTCGCCGAAATACCGCTCCAGGACGCCCAAGATAGGCTCAAGACGGCCCGAGAGGCCCCCCAAGGCACTCCACGACGCTTCAAGACGCCTCTCCCAAGCGCTTCAAGAGGCCGAAATCGTTTATTTTACGAAGGTTTTGGACACATTTTGCTTTTCCCGCCTTCTCAGCTTTCCGACGCTCCACGACGGCTCAAAGGCCCCCCGCGGACGCCCCAGGAGAGCCCAAGAGGCCTCCAAGAGGGGCTCAAGACGGCTCTGGAGGGCCCCAAGACGGCCCAAAACGCGCTCAAGACGGGCGAAGAGAGCCCCAAGACGGCCCAAGCGGGCCCCGAGTCGCCGAAAGACCGCTCCAGGACGCCCAAGATAGGCCCAAGACGGCCCGAGAGGCCCCCCAAGGCACTCCACGACGCTTCAAGACGCATCTCCAGAGCGCTTCAAGAGGCCGAAATCGTCAATTTTACGAAGGTTTTCGAACGATTTTGGCCTTCCAGCCTTTTCGGCTGTCCGACGTTCCAAGACGGCTCAGTAGGCCCCCAGGAGCGCCCCAAGACGGCCCAAGAGGGCTCCAAGAGGGCCTCAAAGTCGCCCAAGACAGCCCAACAGACCCCCAGACGGCCCCAAGATGCGCCCAAGACGGGGACCACGACTCCAAGATTTTTCCAACCGGCTTGAAGAGTGCCCCAGGAGGCCCCAAGGAGCCCCCACGAGTCCCCAGGAGGCCCCCAAGAGGCACCCAGGAGGCCCAAACGAGGCCTGAAGAGGCCACAAAACAGCCCCGAGGAGACCCCACAACGGTGCCAAAACGGCTACCGAGACGGCAAGGAGGAGGAGGAGGAGGAGGAGGAGGAGGAGGAGGAGGACAAGGACCAGTGTACATCCAAGAGCCATCAACCATGTTGCAATGAACGCTCCCGCCTAGCTTCTTCTTCGTAGGCTCCTACGGGAATTATTTGTTCATTTCGGGAAGTGCTCCATTTGACGGCAACTGCCCGAGAATCCTCAATCGTGACAAGACGCCGTTCCTGGGACTTCAGCGCAGCGAAGCAACATGACGGTTGCGCCCTGGCATTCCTAAACCACGCCGGAAGGTCGTTCTTGGAACCTCAACGCCGCGAATCCGCTTTATTGCTGCGCCCTGACGCTCGTAAACCCTGCCAGCACACCATGCCTCGGACGTCAACCAAACGAATCCCCCAAACGGTGGCAAACCTTTCAGACGACTGGGCGCGGCGCCAGGGCGCCTACCACGTGTTGAAGAGGAGCCGCCCTCGGTCCTGCCAGCGGCTGCAAACACCGACATCGGAAAGCACGCGGCGCTGGGGCGATAGTCACGTTTTGAAAACAAACAGCCGCCCCTCCATCCTTGAAGCTGCTGCGACTTGTCGATGATGCTCCGACCGATCCGCCTGCCCCTCTTCTGTGCGAGCTCGCGTTCACAATCGGGGAAGTCCGCGCTAGAACCTAAGCGCGCGCGAAGCGCGCGCGTGGTTCTAGAATATATATATATATAGAGAGAGAGATATATATAGATATAGATATAGGTATATCTATATCTAGATATAGATATAGATATAGATATAGATATATTTATCGGATGGCATTCGACCAGTCCCGCCACCGTCCCTGGGTTGTGGGTCAGGGTCCTCGTGTATGTGTCTTCGGGCCTCTTCAGAAGGTTCTCGGGGACCTCTAGGGCGCAGTTTTGACACCTCTTGGGAGCCTCTTGGTGGTTTGGGCCTCTTGGAGGTCTGGTCGGGGCCTCTTGGGGGCCTCCTGGAGGCCTCCTCTTGGGGGCCTCTTGGGGGCCTCTTATGGGCCTCTTGGGGCCTCCTTGGGGCCTCTCGGGGTGGAGAGCTCGAAATGTCAGTTCGTGCTTCCCTCTGGGACCCATCTTGTGGCCGTTCTTGGTGCCCTCTTGAGCCGTCTTTGAGGCCTCTTGGGCCGTCTCGGGGGGCTCTTTGGCCGTCTTCGAGATATTTGATGCATTTTGGGCCGTCTTCGAGCGTCGGGAACCCGAACAGGCTGAAACGCCAAAATCGTCAAACAACCTAAGGACATATGTGTATGTTTCCTCTCGGGGCCTGCTTGGGAGTGCTCTTGGCAGCTTCTTGGGGCGTCTTGGAAGTCTCTTTGGCAGTCTGGAGGCCATCTCGGACGTCTTTGAGCGATCTTTCGGCGAATCGGAGCCCTCTTGGACACATTGATTGGAAGGTTCGGGAGGTCGTCTTGGGCGGGCACAGCGTCCAGAGGACCGGCAGGAAACAATCCAGCTGTGAGCCTTGGGGCACTCGATCTCGTGCCAGAGGCACTGTGGCGGATATAAGTACAGCCTGTCTGAACGTGCACATTTCAAGATATGGCACATCTCGATGGATGCGCCACCTCTCTCTCTCTCTCTCTTTTTTCTCTCTCTCTCTCTCTCTCTTTCTCTCTCTCTCTCTCTCTCTCTTTCTCTCTCTCTGTCTCTCTCTCTCTCTCTCTCTGACTCCCTTGCTCTCCTTCACCCGATGGCTGAGCCTGGCGCCCGCGCCCCGTGGCCGTCGCGGCCCAGGGCCTGCCCGAAGAGGCGCCCTGCGCCCGCCCGACAACAGTCCGCTGGCCAGGCGGGCCCGCGCGGCACGATGGCCGAGGAGGAGGGGCAGGAGGTAATCTTCACCGAGAACACGGCCCCAGACTTGGCGGCGCGCACGGGGGGGGGGGGCATGGCGCGCACCGGGGGGCGGCCTGGCCACCAGGGGAGGGCAGGATACCGATGCCGCTGCTCGTCCCGGAGGGTTTTCGTCGACGGCGCTGGAGCCTCCTCGAGCTCCGAGGTCAGAACGCGCCCCAGGAGAGGTCCGTGGAGCAGCGGTATCGGTTTCGTTTTGCTTCTGCTGGTAAGGAGGCTGGGGACCTGCGAGAAGACGGGGGGGCTTGCAGGAAGCCCTTCCCAGCTTCCACGAAGCCTTCTCATCAGCCCCCGGGGCTTTCCGAGAAGCCCGCTTGCTTTCCGAGAAGCGCCCCCCGCTTTCGTAGGAGACCGCCGCCCTCGCGCCACCCCCTTCTTGCTTGCCGCCAGCAGACCGTGAGATCTGGGACGAGAAGGGCGGTTTGATCAAGAAGGGTGCGGCGGAGATCGCGGAGCGCGACTCGGACCACGTGCCCGAGGTGAAGATTCTCACGACGCTGGGAATGTTCGCGGTCCCAGTGACCGCGGAGACCACGATCGGCGAGGTTCGGCAGAAAGTTCAGGAGTGGAAGCCCGAGTACTCCCTCGAGCAAATCGAGCTCGTGTGTAAGGACAAGGACGCTTGGGGACCGCTGTTCAACAAGACGTCGCGGCCGCGTGATGACGACGAGACGGTGGAGTCGTTGTGGAGCGATTGGGATATCCCCCGTCGCATGATGCAAGTGGCTCTGTGGATCAAGGAGAAGAACGAGGAGACGGGCGAGTGGGAGAGCACCTTCTGGAAGATGCTCGAGGAGTCTAAGTGTGACGACTGGAGCTTCCAGGGGCATACAATATGAGGGCGTTGTGGCATAGTCCCTTCGAATAAGAGCGGCATGTTGCGTCATTGCTCAGACCAGGTTTCTAGTGCACGGGTGAGTTTGTTTAGTGCCCGTCTGAAGCACGCGCCCATTGCCAACAATCAGAGGTGATCCCTGTGGCGGTCCAAAAGAAAAATGGAAAAATGGAAACTCCACGTTGGCACACCGTTGGCCATATGGGAGGGAAAGAGAGAGAGAGAGAGAGAAAGAAAGAAAGAGGGACAAAACATAAGAGAGAGAGAGAGAGACACACACACACACATACACACAAAAGAAAAAAAAGAGTGAGAACACATATAGAGAGAGGGAGGACTAGGGACGGACGAGGGAACTGGAGGGGTCAGAAGAAGAACGAAGCGGAGTGCGGGGAATAAGGTTGGAGGGGAAGAGGAGGAGGAGGAGTGGAGGAGGCAGATTAGGGGAGAACGAAGCGGAGGGCGAGGAGTAAGAGAAGCGGGAGGAGTGGAGGAGGAGGATAGGAGGCAGAGCAGGGGAGAGAGAGAGAGAGAGAGCAGGGGATAGAGAGAGAGGGGAGGGGGAGGGGAGGAGAGAAAAGGGATCGAGAGCAACTTGAATAGGGTTGCTGGGACCATTGACACCACACTAGCTCTCCTCCCGCTCCTCTTCGTCCTCCCCACTCCTGGTGTCCTCCTCTCCGTGCTTCCTCTTCCTCCTCCTCCTCCTCCTCCTCCTCCTCCTCCTCCTCCTCCTCCTCCTCCTCCTCCTCCTCCTCCTGCTCGAGCCATGGGCGTCCCTCCTCTTACTCCGTTGATGCTCCTCTTCCTCCTCCTCCTCCTCCTCCTCCTCCTCCTCCTCCTCCTCCTCCTCCATGTCGGTCCTGCTGGGGCGTTCCCGCAAGGGGGGTCCCGGCCTTCGGGCGCCACCCCGCCCGAAGGCCGGGGTGGCGCGGGCGGGGAGGCAAAACACGGCGGCGGGCCCGCCGGCGGCGGGCTGGCGGCAGCAGGCTCCTGACGCTCCGCGCGTCCCCACCGGCTTGCCCCAGCCTGGGGGGCCTCTTGGCCTGCTCGCCGGAGGGCGCGGAGGGGAAGCTCTTGACGCTTCCCGTGTCCCCACCGAGGGTGGGGACACGCAAGTGCCCCTTGCATGTGCATGCGCCTCTTCGGCTAATTATCTTCTTTTCGCGCCCCGTTCGATGCCACGCTTCCTGACCTTCGCCTGGGAGCCGCCAACCAAAAAAAGTGTCCCCACCGAGGGGAACAAAAAGTGACATAAACATAAAAACTCGGAGGCCCGCGCGGATTTCTCGGATCGGTGCCGGGGCCCCCCTGGCGGCGCCTCCGGCGCCGCCCCTGGCGCGCTCCGCGCGCCAGGGAGGGGGCTCCAGCGCCGATCCGAGAAAGCCGCGCAGACCTCCGAGTTTTTGTGCTTAGGCCACTTTTTGTTCCTTATGGCCTGCTCGCCGGAGGGCGCGGAGCGGCCGCAGCCCGACCGACCACCGCCTCCTCCCGGCACGGCAGCTCTGCCCCCCGCGCCGCCGCTGCCCGACGGCGTGGCCTCGCCACCCGGGGGCCCGGAGGCCGCCTGCCTCCTCGGCGGTCGCTTGACGCGTTCTCCGCGTTGATTACGCCCGTCTCTCGGGGTCGCCCACGCTGCTCCCATGTGCCAAGCAGTGGCGAAGCGTCCCTGCTCGCTTAGAGTCCCACCAAGCAGTGTTCTAAGAACCGTTTGTGGTTTCCACGAAATGTTCTTAGAAGATTTCCGGCGGAGTCTGGCTTGTTTTATCAAATCGGGTTTATGTGCTAAGAACATAGTTTTTGTTATTAGAACATGTTGGGGGTCTAAGAACCTTTCGTGGTAGGACTATAGGAATGCCCGGACGGTCGGTCCCTGCTCAAATGTGCGCTTGCTCGCTACTCCACGTCTGTGAAGGCCATCTGGTTTCAAGGACTTCGAGTTCGACAAGCTTACCTGGAGAGTATGTTTATAGACGTTGTTCCTCCCGCCGTTTTGGCTGCCGCATGTCTGTCGGGTCTGTGTGACTGCTCGTTGGACACCTTCCTCGGCAAGGTGCGTCCTGGAGTGGCGGTGCCGCTGACTATCATGTGGGTGGTCGCTCCTTCACACTACAACGGCTGCTTATTCGGCAGTTTCGTGGACGGGTTCTCGGTGCCGGCTTGTGATGCCTTCCGCGTCATTTTGGTTGCGTCGTGCCCGTTCCGCTCAGGTTTCAAGGACGTCGAGCTCGACAAGCTCACCTGGCGAGCATGTTCACGGACGCCTTTCCTCTCGTTTGGTTACCGCATGTTTGTTGGGTCTGTGTGGTTGCTCTTCGACACCTTCCTCGGCCAGTTGCGTCCTGGGGTTGTCGTGCTGCTGTTTTACCATGTGGGCAGTCGCTCGCCCATTCTACACCGGCGTCCCATCGGCACCTTCGTGGTCGAGCTTTTGGTGCTTGCTCGTGATGCCTCCCGCGCCATTTTGGCTGCGCCGTGCCCGGTTCCGCTCTGCGACGGGCGCTGTTCACTTCGCTGTTTGTTCCTTCGCTTCGGCGCGGCCCGCCCTAGCTTGCTCGGCATTCGACATGTCTTCGCGCGCCCGCGTACCCAAAAAAATCCCCACCAACTCATCCAGACACGATCGCAAGGTGAGTTGCCTCTTACGAGGGCAGCGCAGAAACATACAGTGCGACAGCCACCTTGGATGCCTTTTGGGGGTGCGGGGAGAGCGGGAACATGTGTTGTATGAGTCGTCAAAAAGTAGGTTGAACAGGTCGACCTGGCGCCGCGTTGGCTCTATGGGGGTTTTCGTGGGCTCTTCTTCGACACATGTTGACCTGCCACGGTCCCCGAATGAGAGGAGGAGGAGGAGGGGAAGGAGAAGGAGGAGGAGGAGGAGGAGAGGTCTTGGTGGTCCTAGGGGCCTCTAGGAGCTTCTCTGATGTTTCTGAGCAGCCTCTTGGAGCCTCTTTGGTCTCTCGTGGGGGATTATTAGAGGCCTCTTGAGGGCCTCCCTTATGGTGCTGGGCGCCTCCCTGGTGGTGCTGGGCGCCCCTTTTGGGTTGTCTTGGGGCCACCTTGAGATCCAAAAAGGCCATGGCAAGCTCAAACGAGGATGTTCCGAAGGTTGTTGAAGGACTTTGGCCACTTTGGCCTCTCGGGACGTTCGTTGGGAGGTTGGAGTGGCACTAGGAACCGTCTTGGGGCTGTCCTGGGCCGTCTCGGAGGCGCGTGGAGGGCTAGATTGAGAGATGTTCAGGTTTCTGGAGCCACCTTGGAGGCTGTCTTGGGCTGCCGAGGGCCCTCTTGGAGCCATCTTGGGCCATCTTGGGCGCTCTAACGGCTCGGGCCCCCCCCAAGCCCCCCAGGTCAGGATGCAATTTTTGGGATGTTGGATTCGGCATCAGCGATGGCGTGCCCGTGAACGAAGAAAGACCCAGTCTGAGGCAATCCCGTTTGATTATGCTCAATTCCGTCTTATCTGGCTGAATCGGGTTCAATCCCACGCTTAGACTGGGCAAATCCAGCTTCATGGCCCCGCAGCTGGCCGAATATATGGCCCTCAACGCGCACAATCGTCCCTTCGAAGACTTCCCAGGAGTTGCCTCGTGGCCCTGGGAGGAGAGTTCCAGGGGCCGACATCGCGAGAGGATCTTGACGCGTCGGACGCCTGGGTCCAGACGCTTGCATGCCAGGAGGCCAGATATGCGCATGTCGTGGCCAGCAGCGGCGGGCGGCTTCTCCTCCCGATGCCCGACGGCCACGGGGCCCGGCAAGGGCCCCCCCCGCGAGGCCGAACCCAGACCCCCGACGTGGGTGATTCGGGCCGGGCGAAAGGGGGGGATTGGGAAAGGGGGGGTTGCGAGATCTGCTGCATGCAGCTGGTTTCGGCCCCACCGAGGGGCCCATTCCTCGATACATAGCCGCCTCCGGCGCCGGGAGGTGCCGGGAAAATCAGCTACGTGAGCTGATTCTCAACCCCCCCCTTTGTTATCCCCCCCTTTCGCCCAGCCCGAGTGATTGTTGCCCAGTAAGGGCCCCCCGAGGTGGAACATGAGGAAACACCTCCCAGCTGAATTTTCTCCCGACGCGACAGGGCCTGGGATCGGAAGCCGAAGATTGTCAAAAACACAGTCTGTAGCGATTGTTTGATCACCGCACAAGGAAATATGGGAAACCGCCGTTGTCTAGACCAGTCCTCCTCTGAGAATGGCGGTGTGAAGGAGGAGAAGGAGGGAGGAGGCAGGAATGGAGGGAGGAGGAACAGGGAGGAGGAGAAGGAAGAGGAGGAGGAGCAAGGAGGAATGAGAGAGGGAGGGAATGAGAAGGAGGAGGAGAGACGAGGGAGGAGGAGGGAGGAGGGAGGGAGGGAGGAGCAGGAGGGAGGGAGGAGCAGGAGAAGGAGGAGGAGGAGGAGGAGGAGGAGGAGGAGGAGGCAGGGGCGGAGGGATGGAGGGAGGGAGGAGGCGGAGGAGGGCGAGCAGGAGGAGGGATGCAGGGAAGGACGGAAGGGAGGAGGGGCCTGGCCCCTGCGAGAGCACAGGAGGAGGCTGCCGGCGCCCGAGCCCCCCGGTCGCCGCCGGCGCGGGCGCCTGCGCCGCCAGCCGCCCGCGGTGCGGAGGCCAGCAGCTCGGCGCCGTAGGAGTCGTCGGGCCCCAGGAATCGAAGAACAAGACGGCATAAGAACAAGCTTTTGGCGCTCCACACACACACACACACACACGCACGCACGCACGCACGCACGCACGCACGCACGCACACACACACACACACACACACACACACACACACACACACACGCACGCAAACACACAAGCACATGACACGCACACCACGCAACACATGCGCGCCAACAGGAGGTGCGCACGGGGTGCTCCCTGAGGGCGGCCGCTATGTGTGACGGTCGTCCAGGGCACGGCAGGCATGGCATTTTCTCGACACCGTAGGGGGTGCGCACGGGGTGGTCACTGACCGCGGCCGCTATCCGTGACAGTCGTCCAGGGCACAGCAGGCTTGGCATTTTCTCGACACCATAAGGAGTACACACGGAGTGGTCCCTGAGCGCGGCCGCTATCCGTGACGGTCGTCCAGGGCACAGCAGGCGCGGCGTTTTCTCACCACAGGGGGTGCGCACGGGGTGGTCCCTGAGCGCGGCCGCTATCCGTGATGGTCGCCCAGGGCACAGCATGCAT